GGGTGGGAGAGGGAGAAGCAGGCTTCCCGCTGAGCAGGGAGCCTGATGCGGGGCTCAATCCCAGGACCCTGGGATCATGACCTGAGCTGAAGGCAGACGCTCAATGACTGAGCCATCCAGGCGCCCCCCCATCTAGCCTATTCTTAACAAATGGCATAGCAGCCTGCAGTGATAATAAGACAGACAAATTAGAAATCCTAAAATCTTAGTCACAGATCCAGCTCTGCCACTTCCTGGGAAGTCAGTTAGCCTATCTGAGCTTCAAATTCCTTATCTCTAAAATGAGGATAATTGTGGACAGAAGGCCCTTTTTAACAGGCCCTTTCCCCTTCTACTTGAGAATCTGGGCTTTAGTTAAAATGCCTACCTGTTGCCCTGATCTTTATAGGCAACATTACTTATGGTAAACATGAACTCTGACAAATCACATCTGGACTGGGAAAACTGCAAGTGAGATAGAAATGCCTTAAGGAGGTGCCATCCCTTGGGCTTCCACGAGTGCCGTGACTTCTAATAGGCAGGCCCTTTGTGGGCCTGGGACTAGATCTATGGACTTGTTATAAGACATACTCACTCCTGTGGAACACAGCACATGTCCCCAGAAGACTCTGTGGACGCTGTCCGAAGGGCCTGGAGAACTCTGGCCAGAAGGAATGCCTGGTGCTGCCCTGTTGGCAAACCGTGCTCCCATCCTAGATCCTTCGAAGATTGGTGCTTTGTGTGGTCTGTGAGGCTTGTGAGTCTGACTGCTCCGATCTAAAAAGACTCCTGAAATGACATATTTCAGGTGAGCTCTGCAGTTAACACCTGCCTTGCCTACTTCCGTGAGGGCTGCTACACTGAATGAGATGACTACAAAAACACTATAAAACGGCAAAGCACCTTCTAAGTATAATTGCTATTATTTTTAAAAATACAGGGGCGCCTGGGTGGCTCAGTTGGTTAAGCGACTGCCTTCGGCTCGGGTCATGATCCTGGGGTCCTGGGATCGAGCCCCGCAGTGGGATCCCTGCTGAGCGGGAAGCCTGCTTCTCCCTCTCCCTCTGCCCCTGCTGCTCCCCCTGCCTGTGCTCTTTCTCTCTGTCAAATATATAAAATCTTAAAAAAAAAAATACAAAAATACATATGATAAAGACATTGATTTTCATCAGTAAAACTAATGGTGAAGGTCGCCATAGTCTAGCTGGAAACCTTCTGTGGCTTGAATCCAGCTCTTTAGAGGCCGGGTGATCAAGGATTGGGAACAGGCATACCCAGCACAGAAGTGAGCCATAGAAGCCTGCCCATTGCAGGGGCTCAGCTAAACTCTAATTCTATTAACTAGCAGTAAGCACCAGCAACTGAGACTGAGGTCAACCACTATGTGGCTATGGGAAAGAAACTGTTGGTGGAAATCAAAGGGGCTAGCACCCTCTTACCTGGTTCTCTTTTGATCACAGACAAGGAGACTGGGAAAGCCCCATCTGTCCAGGACTTGCCAGAGGTTCTACAGCCCGCTCTGGAGGCTGCTCTTTGTGACAAAAGTGCCAATGTGCGGATCGCAGCAGCACTATGCCAGTACGTCATACAGTCGCATAATCCCCTCGCCCGGGACATCATGCACAGTGTCCTTTTGAAGGGTGAGTAACTCCCTGCCACTTGTGACCTGGGAATATGCGGTAGAGACAGGATACCTCACCATCAGCTTTTCCTAATCCTTTCTTCTCCAATATCGTATTTGTGAGGTCTACTGTATTGGGGGATTTGGGTTTACATTCGTGAACACCCAGAGATAGTGGTTCCTAGGCACTTTTATAAAATAGGTGCACTTTTACCTAGTGGTACTTGGGTGGCTAAGTGTTTCACAGATGCATCTGCCTAGACACCATGCCCCCCGTTCACACAAATTCATTTGAGAGAGCGAGCGAGCATGTGAAAGCGGGGTGGGGAAGGGGGCAGTGGACGGAGGGGAGAGGGAGAATCTTACACACACTCCACACCCAGAGCCGAGCCCGACGTGGGGCTTGATCTCACAACCCTGAGATCATGACCTGAGCAGAAATCAAGAGTTGGATGCCTGATCAGCTGAGCCACCCAGATGTCTCACAAATTTACTTTAAAAAAAAAAAAGTTTGTTTACTTATATATGTATGTATGTAATCTCTACACCCAGCATGGGGCTCAGAATCACAACTCTGAGATCATGCTCTTCTCACTGAGCCAGCCAGGTGCCCCATGCACAGATTTACTTTTAATTTAGAAAGATGACATAACAATATTAAAGAATACTTTCTGAAACTTAAATCACCACTTGAACACATTGTGCTTCCGTCTTTGCACATTAACTCACCGGTATCATCCACAGACACTGTTGGAGTAATACAAGCAAGACAGCTGTCAGGTGCCCAACGTGCCTGACTGCTCTCTGAAAGAGTGCCTGTTCCTTCCTGTCCTGGGGGCACTGGGGAGATGGGCAGACAAGGACAGCTGGCTGACTGGTTTGACCTTCTGCATATAGACCCTCAACAACTTAATCCATTTGTCTTAAGAAAGTCTCCACTCCAGGGGCACCTGGGTGGCTCAGTCAGTTAAGCCTCTGCCTTCAGCTTAGGTCATGATCCCAGGGTCCTGAGATCAGGTCCTGAATCAAACTCCATATTGGGCTCCCTGCTCAGGGAGAGTCTGCTTCTCCCTCTGCCCCTCCCCACTGCTTGCACTCTCTCTTGACTTCTCTCTCTCAAATAAATAAAATCCTTTTTTTTTTTTTTTTTTATTCATGAAAGTCAGAGAGAGAGAGGCAGAGGCAGAGGGAGAGAAGCAGGCTCCCCGCCTAGCAGGGAGCCCAATGTGGGACTCGATCCAGGACCCTGGGATCATGACCTGAGCCGAAGGCAGACGCTTAATCATCTGAGCCACCCAGGCGCCATCAAATAAAATCTTAAAAAAAAAAAAAAAAGAGAGAGAGAGAGGGGGAGTCTCCACTCCAGGCTTCCCAGTCTCTAGGAGAAGGAACAACTCTATCTCTCACCCAGGACATAAGGGCCTACTGCTGTTAACCAACAAGAGCCTTTTAGGATTTGGGGCGCCTGGGTGGCTCAGTCGTTAGGCATCTGCCTTTGGCTCAGGTCATGGTCCCAGGGTCCTAGGATCAAGCCCCACATCGGGCTCCCTGCTTGGCCGGAAGCCTGCTTCTCCCTCTCCCACTCCCCCTGCTTGTGTTCCCTCTCTTGCTGTGTCTCTCTCTGTCAAATAAATAAATAAAATCTTTAAAAAAAAAAAAAGAGCCTTTTAGGATTTGACTTCTCAGGTTAAGATTTTCAGTCTATATTTAAAACCTTGATATGATCCATTTAAATACAGGCTTTGACTTCTATACTGAGCGGGGCACAGGGGAATAAGATACCAGGCAGGTAACAGCCTTGGGTACCAACCCTGAGGCTGTTCTCTCTGCGGGGAGAACAGATAGCTATTTTTTTCACCCCACCCAATAGGTAATAGCGTGGACAGCTGGGCTGCAGCTCAGTGCTTGGCTCTGGAAGGTGCTGCCACATACCCCGTGATTAAGAGGATCCTCCAGCAGCTGTTCAGTAAGAAGAATGACGACACTGAGTACCAGTCTTGTATGCTCCTGAGCCATCTCAGTGAGAAGACAGTATGTGTTCATTACAGGGTCAGAGAAAGAAACCAAGTTATGGGGAACATTTGAGTCTGAGGTCAGTTCATGTAAGGAATCGAAAATGCAGGTGGCTGAGTAAGATTATAAGTATAGTTAAAAGACTGGACTAAATGTGTGGGTGACCTGGGGTAGAGAGGTATGTGTACAGGTAAAAGGGACACCAGCCACCTGAGACAAAGGTGAGAAAAGTAGGCTGCAGATGGTTTCTGTGTAGGCAAGAAGAGTTGTGATATGTAGAATTTGCTTCTGCCAAAAGTTACCATTGAAAACTGTACAGACCTACAAGTGTGTTTACTCTCAGTAGAAATGTGAAACTCACAAAGATTGAGGCATATACAAATCATCTTAGGAGTAAAGATAGTTAAAGAGAAGGCCCCGGGAATTTTCTGTTCAGGTTACTAAATGTGTATTTGTTCCCCGATTTAGGATTCCAAAGTCAGTTGGCTCAGATCAAAGAGTGCCCCATATCTTGTAAACCCACTCTTTCCTTGGCCAGGGATGGGCACCTCATGTACTTGTGACGTTCATTAGGCTGAATGCCGTGTTAGGCTCTAACACTTCTTCCAGGCTCCAGCATCTCTGAAAGTTATCCGGAATATCCACCTAAGTCTTCCATTCCTCAGACCCTGATACACACCATGCTTGCTGTGGAGCTGAACAGCTACCAGTGGAAGGACCGGATCATAGCCTGCCGGGTTCTCTCACAGGTCGGCGGGAATGTCAGTTTGGTAAGCCTTCTGTGTTTCCAGGACAGAAAGTCTAAGCAAAAGGAGGTTGGGAAGCCCTTCCACTTTTTGCTATTTAATATCCCATTCTTACTGAGCAGATCTTTGTCTCTACCTTGCTACCTTAGTCCTAACCCAGAATTATCTTCACATGCCAACATGTCTTTCTGACTCAAGGCACCTGGCTTCTTAGCATGGTGGCAGTTCACCAGTTGTAACCCACTCACAATGAAATAAGCAAAAAACAAAAACAAAACAAACCCTAGGAGAATTTAGAAACTTTTATAGTACTTTGACATTGCCTTAACATGAATGTACTATATAAGTACCAGCCAATAACATTCCTCACCAACCCCCCCACCCCCGCCAAAGCTGGTCCTTCACCAGATAGTTTGAGAAGCACTGACTTAAACTACCCAACAACCCAACCATACTTAGTGTCTATGTTGGCTCTGAGTGTTCAGCACATAGAGAAGGTATAAAACACAGTCCCTACTTCAAAAAGACTGACATTATAGTTGGAATAACAATACTAACGTACATAAATGATTCAAGGACAAGTGATAAATGTAGAGTACGCTCTTATAACTTTTCAGAGAGAGACATTAGTGTAGGCTGAACCTATCAGAGTTCTGGGAAGGAGTGTGGAACAGCTGGGCAAGACTTGGACAGAACAGAAGAGGGACTTCCAGGTGGAGGAAACCCTGACCATCATTTGAGCTTTCACTTGACCTGCTTCTTGCCATTATTTTTAAATCATCTTCAGCTGTCCAAATGGGGGCTTCCCCTTCTTCCTATGTGCCACTATATCTTCTCCTTATAACACTAAGTACCTCCAAAATGGCCCAGAGCACTGCCATTCTCATGAGAAGTTAACACCCTCCACCCTTGGACCCTCACATTTTGAGCGGAAAGCACAAAATCTGGTTGTTCAGTATCATCATCTGAAGATGTTTTAGTCTTGAGTTAATTGAGTTAATTCTGCCCCAGTTGCCAGGGACCCCTCCTCTAAAGTCCTCACCAGCAACAGTCTTCACCTGGGAGCTTGTGAGAAGGGCAGAATCTCACCTCAGGCTCACTCAGTCAGAATCTGCATTTTAACATCTTGTTCATTTGCACATTCACCTCCTTAGCACTTGTCACTCAGGATTGCCAACTGAAAATAAAAAGACATGCAGAGCAGACAGGGGACTGACCTGGCAAAGATGAGAACTTCACGTCAGGTTGCTGGAATGAAAGGCACCATGTCCATCAGTCCTTCACTCATTCAGTAAGCAGTGTCTGACCACATCCTACATGCTCAGCACTATGCCAGCATTAGGGATGCAAAAAATACTGTCTTTTCTTGGTAAATGTTATAAATAACTGTAACAGAGGCAGCTGTAAAGCATTATGGGAATTTCCTATGCTTACAGAGGGCAGAGGAGAGTTCACAGAGATGCTTTCTGAGAGAAATCCTAAAAGAGTAGGGAAACATTCCACCACATAGAGGTGGAAAAGAGATGTTTCAGGCAAGGAGAATAGCTTGAGCACATTAGCACAGTGATGAACTACAACTGTAGTAATCTTGGTCTCTTCCCTTCTGAATGAAGTACTAATATATAGGGTGGCCAACTGTCCTGGTTTGTCCAGGACATAGGAGTTTTAGTACTAATCCCAGAAAAGTTCCAGGCAAACTGGAATGAGTGTCACCTTATTAGTGTATAACCATCAAATGTTAAGTCCCTCAAGTACAGGTAACGTTGGTCCTGACATAGTACAGCAGTTTTTTGTTTTTGTTTTTTTTAAAGATTTATTTATTTATTTGACAGAGAGATAGAGAGCACAAGTAGGCAGAGAGGCAGGCAGAGGGAGAGGGAGAAGCAGGCTCCCCGCGGAGCAGGGAGCCGGATGCGGGGCTCGATCCCAGGACCCTGGGATCATGACCTGAGCCGAAGGCAGCCGATTAACCGACTGAGCCACCCAGGCACCCCCATAGTATAGCAGTTTAAAGCATAAGCTTATAAAACAGACTGGGTCTTGAGTCCTGACTCTAGCATCCAACAGGTTAATCTTGGGCAAGTAAACCTAAGCCTCCATTTTGTCATCTGTAAATGGTAATCTGCTTCATTGGATTGTTTGGGAGGATTAAGTGATGGGTAAAAACACCACACAGTACCAAGCACAAAACTGACATTCAATAAATGGCAGCTAATTATTACTCCTATTTATAGGATATGAAACATAAGTTGATCCAGATGATGCTGAGTGACTGGAATAAGGAAG